CCCTGAACCCCTAAATACTTGCTGCCCCAGGCGCAGTCTGCCGGTGAGGCAGAGGATGAGCTGCGCAGTCCCTGGGGGGCTGGTTCAGTGGTTCAGGGTGTAAGGGAGTTAGGAGTTTAGAGGTTTCGAGTTTTAGCGGTTTCGAGTTTTAGAGGTCTAGAGGTTTCAGGTTTTCGGGACTCAGGGGTTCAAAGTTGAGGGTCATGATGCTTGCGGCGCGGCGCGCGGTATGAAGGATGGCTGGTGGCTCGGTGAATATTCGAGAAAGCAAGGGTTCACATCTGCAAGAGTCTTCGCAACAAGCATCCTTCTTACAGATCTTTGATGGATGCACTGGGCAAGACAGTGGGCCCCTGATACGACAGGGATGGCAACGAAGCCACTTGCAAGCTGAACACGCTGCATCAGAGAACCTCCTTTGCAAGCCAGCTTATGCAGGAACGAAACATTCGTGCCGACGATGCAACTGCACAGGTATGCACATGCGCACAGTGACACGCATCAATGAGACAACATACACGTGCAAACCTGCACCGTCAGCTGGGTAGCTGTTACATCTCACCCTAAACCCTAAACCCGGAACCCTATACCCTGAACCCTATACCCTCAACCCTAAACCCTAAACCCTAAACCCTGAACCCTGAACCCTGAACCCTAAACCCTAAACCCTAAACCCTAAACCCTAAACCCTAAACCCTGAACCCTGAACCCTGAACCCTGAACCCTAAACCCTAAACCCTAAACCCTAAACCCTAAACCCTAAACCCTAAACCCTGAACCCTGAACCCTGAACCCTAAACCCTAAACCCTAAACCCTTGCCTTCCTTCCCACATTTTGCAAGCAACTTGGAGGCCGCCATGCTCTTGTCTACACCCTCAGCCCACATTAAAACAAACGTTGCCTCCAGGAGTCCACAAACACTCGGGTCACCAACAAAAGCCTAAAAAACCCTAAACCCTAAACCCGTTTAGGGTTTAGGGTTTAGGGTTTAGGGTTTAGGGTTTAGGGCTTAGGGTTTAGGGTTTAGGGTTTTGCAAGCCCTTTCCAGGGCAAAGCTGTGCACTGAACCACGAGGAGCTAACTACTTCATGTTGATGGATGGAAGCCGTTGCGTGCGAACCATTGTTCTTTTGTCTGTTTGGGAGATGTGAGGCGGGTAGAATGACATGGCAGATGCGATGAGGGAGAAGCGATCTGCAAGTGCACAGGGGGAGTGAGAACAGGTACTGATCTTGATCTTGATCTACTAGACTCGGATCCCAGTCTTCCCCGTCCTCCCCACCCCGTACAGCCCGGGACTTGTCAGTGTACTGTTTGCCAACTTAAGCCATGGCCCCTGCCTGAGGGAATGAGGTTCCCTGTATGCCCCTAGAACGTACCCTTTAGGGAATTACGGTAGCGTTCCTCATTCGCCCCCAATTCCCAACTAAGAACCAGGGGGTAAACCTAAACCCTAAACCCTAAACCCTAAACCCTAAACCCTAAACCCTATGGAATGACTTTTCAAGCCCCTTGGATTACCCCTCACTTGGGCCAGAGGCTCCTCCACTTGGGTGTCATCTTGAAGTCCCAGGCAGTAGGGTTTAGGGTTTAGGGTTTAGGGTGCTACTAGCACTACATGGCACTATGCTTCGACGCAGAATACATGCATGTATGTATGTGTATGGGTATATATATATATGTATGTATGTATATATGGTCAGATCTCAACAATATGGCCCCTTATAGAGGACCCTAAATATTTGGGGCCGCCTTACAATGGCAACCCCAAAAGGGACGACAGTTAAGAGAAGCGACCTCATATATGCGTGCATTTACACTTATGGCTTCTAATGTTGCGTCTTTCGTCTTATTGCTGTTTGCTTTACCTCGGTGTCTCTCTGTCTCTGTGTGCGCGCGTGTGTGTGTGTGTGTGTGTGTGTGTGGCCTGTGTGTCCTTGTGTGTGCTTAAGGTTGTTTTGGCTTAAGTTCAAGGAAAGGAGTGCCCATGTAAAGGTTAGTTAACGCGACGAATGAGTCAATAGGTAGCTGTGGGTGACCAGTGGGTGGTAGGTGGAATCTACAAGGTTCGGGGTAGCTGAATCCTGAAGATGTAGCGCAGCTCCGCACCGAGATGAGGATGTAAGAGCTCCTGTATGTCCTTGGTCTCGCTGTTTCTTCTATCTTGCCAGTCTGTCTGCGTCTTCCTCCAGCTTCTTGCATGACAAGGGTGATATCTACTAGCTCTTCATAGGGAGCGCGGCTCTTTCTAAGGGTTTTTTTCTAGGAACCCTAGCAACCTATGCGTGCAAGCTCGAAATTGTGCCGCCTGCAGGAACTGAAAGACAAGTACGTCGTAGCCCTGCCAGATGCTTAGATATCGAGCATAGGAGGGGTGCACAGGCTTGCGCGGCTAGGCTTTAGGGTTTAGGGTTTAGTGTTTAGGGTGTGGGGTACATGGGCGTTAATGGGCCTACGGTTGAATTCTAGACCCGGTTGGCGCCTTTTTGTTCAGTTGTTGGCTTTGGAGTTTCGGGGGTTAGGCTACAACTTTACAGGCGCTACAAGCCCCAAACCTCACCCCATTAAAGCTCCCAAAAAGCACCCTACATCCTGAACTTCAAACCCTTACACCTTTGTAAACTCAAACCTTTTGTATCCCATGTCTCCGAGACCTATCGAGGCACTAGGCCATAAGCCCTAAAACCTGAAACCCTATCCCTCAAGGTCCGGGTACCTCAAGCCTGGGTTGTGCTGTGGGATTTGTTTGTTTAAATTTCCCTTCTTTCATTATAAGGAAAGCTGTTCATCAGTAAATTTTCAGAGGGCTTGAAGCACAACTCAGAAGCGTATTACTTGGCCGCAGACCGAACTGTACTGTAGAGGAGGTACTCCTTGGGGCTCCATTTGTAGCACAGTTATGGAAATTAGACACCCCAACAACTCTATTCAGTACGGTTTTGTAGGTATCTGACCCTAGACTCTAAACCCGAAGTATAAACCCTAAACCCTAAACCCTAAACCCTAAACCCTAAACCCCCTGTTTCTTTCAAGGGCAGGTCGACCCCCAGTTTTATAAAGGCACCAAGGAACCCGAAAAACTTAAGCTGTCCGCCACTCGCAACCCTCAATCCTCAACCCCAAGCCCTACACCCTGAACCCCAAGCCCTAAACCTAAACCCCACACCAACCCTAAACCCTAAACCTTAAGCCCTAAACCCTAAACCCTAAACCCTAAACCCTAAACCCTAAACCCTAAACCCTAAACCCCTCCCCAACGCTCTGAGGTGCAGGGCTTTGGCCGGAACGGTCTCCGCAACCCCCAAGGAGGCTGAGCTGCGAGCTTCGCTTTTTCTTGTTAGGGTTTAGGGTCTAGGAGAGTTTAGGGTTTAGGGTTTAGGGTTTAGGGTTTAGGGTCTAGGAGAGTTTTGGGTTTAGGGTTCAGGGGGGGGGGGGGGGGGGGTGGGGCTAGCAAGCAGCGTGCATTCTTCGGTTCATGGCTTCGATCTTTGCGCGGGCAAGGGGCTCAAGGCGTCCATTCGTAGCGCCATTATTGCTAGGGCGTGGCTGGCTGAGGGTTTGGGGTTCAGGGGTCTTTATGTCCTTATCACCCTTGGCCCTAAATCCCTAACCCCGAATAGGCTCCTTAAATCCCACACCCGAAGCCCTAGACTTATGAAGGCTCCGTTGCCCTGGTTCGCGGTGTTCGCCAAGTGTGCGGTGTTCGCGGTGTTCGCGGGGCGATATAGCGTTCATGAGTGAAACCCGAGACTTCCCTAAACCCCAAACCCCAAACCCCAAACCCAAACCCTAAACCCCAAATCCTAAACCCCAAAGTCCCAAGCTTAACCCTAAACCATCAACACTCAACCCTTAACCCAAAACTTGAAACCGCTCGGCTCCCGACAGCCTCAACCTATGAAATGCCCTGAAATACCTGTGAGCCTGAAGATTATGAAACGTGTGGTCGAGCTCTTCACCCTAGGAATATGAGAGGTTTAGGGCTTGGGGTTTCGGGCTTAGGGCTCGCCCTTAAAGGCACCCTAAACTTTAGACCCTAAACCCGAAACCCTACACTCTAAACCCTAAACCCTAAACCCTAAACCCTAAACCTCGAGAATAAGCCGCCTGGAGGTCGATGAGGGCGACGTTCCGAAAGAGGGGGAGGTGCAGACTGCAGGGCTTCGGACTATTTAGGGCTTAGGATTTAGGATTTCGAGAGGGAAGGGTGGTTTAGGGTTTAGGGTTTAGAGGTTTGGGGTTTTGGGGTTTTGGGGTTTAGGGTTTGAGGGGGGTTAGGTTGATAAGGCGCGAATTAGGCTTTCCCTGGATCTCGGATCGGCGAAGCGCAACCCGTCAACCCTAAACCCTCCACGGGAGTGGGGGATTTCAATGCCTGGTGATTCCGCCCGCTCACCCCCATCTCCTCCCCCCCCTTCCCCCCCTTCCCTCCCCTTTGCTGCCCAACCCTAAACCCTAAACCGCCCCGAAAGCACGAGCAGTTTCGAAAACCTTATCGAAGGCACGCTCAGGTTTGAGGTTTGGGGGTCCCGAAGCCCTAAACCCTAAAACCCTAAGCCCTAAAACCCTAAACCCTAACACCCTTAAACGCACACACGTCGAGGCGCTTGTGACTCACAGGCGAGCTTGCATACTTGCATGGCCGCATCTCAGACCGGAGCTCCCATGCACACCCCTCGAACGAGCCGAGCTCCAGCTTTGTTAGGGATTCAGGATTTCATGGGCAGTTTTACATGTGTATATACATTTATATATATATATATATATATATACACATATATGCATATGTATATATACACATATGTATATATATATATATATAAATTTTTTTCTCCCCATATCGATAGATAGATATACTGCATGCTTAGGGCAGTTTAGGGTTTTTTTCAGGTTCTAGTTTTAAGATTGTGTGTTTTAGGGCTTACGGCTTGCGGGGTGTTGGGGTGTTGAGGATGTGCGGCTTTGCATGTGTGGGTTTGTTTTTAAGGTCTTGCAAAGG